TTTGAAAATATCTATCTATTTATCTATGACCCCTGGTCCTCCTGAGAGGGTACGAAAGTCCCACAACTTTCAAAGTCAATTTCTACCTACGAAAATATTTTAATCGTAGAATAATTGTTGTTTTAAATAATGGCTAAATTTCACTACAATCGCCAGTGGCTGAAGGGATGGTGTAAATCCAGCTAGGGTCCATGCAGGTAGCCAAAGTACTGTCAGTCCCCATGGTCCCTAGCATGGTGATCAGCTTTCAGTTGCTGGCGATATATAGCCCATTTTTACATTGTATTGTCCAAACATAGTTTTCTACTTTTAAAGATATATGCTAGCTAGTTTTAACTCATTTTGTGATAATCTAGTAATTTTACTGTCCTTCGTTGACAGGGTTTTATATATTATATGTATGCATTATGAATTTAGAACTAGTTTTAGTCATGATATGGCTGAAATATTGCCAATGTGACTTCAATGTGAATTTTAACTCACTCACTCACTCTATGACCCCTGACATTATACTCGTTTACCTGTATGTTGTTTAACGCCAGATTCAGCAATTTTCCAGCTACCTAGCGGCGGCCTCTAAGTAATAGAGTCTGGACCAGACAATCCAGTGACCAACAACAGGAGCATCGATCTACGCAATTTGGATACGACATGTGTCAACCAAGTTAGCGGGCCTGACCACTCAATCCCATTAGTCGTCTCTTATGACAAGCAAAGGTTGCTGAGGACCAATTGTAACCCTTTTTAAACGGGTAAAGAGTCAGCATAAACACAATAGCTTTCAATAACACTTTGACATTGAGGACATGTTTTCAGTTAAATGGCTTGAGACAAAGGCCTGTACAAAGTGAATGTAGAACAACAGGTTAAGAATCTGAAGTGTTTCTGTTTGTTTCATTAGGTGGGATGAGGATCAATCTTAATGTGTTATTCTTTCAGTGAGACTTGGTGTTAATTGAACAGTAAGTGAGTTGTATTGAACGCCACTTCTATGCTGAATGCCGTTGGTTTTAACGCCACTTCGAAGTTAAATACAGTGAGTACTTTGACGCTATATGCAGACTAGTCGTACTAAAAATAAAATGTGAAATGCTGGATTTCGTCAGAGACAAAATCAATGTTAACTGAGGGATAAGAGTGAGTGAGTTAGTTAAAATTTCACGTCACATTGGCAATATTGCATATCGTGACGAGGATTTGAATAATAAAAAAAGTCGTAATGAATAAAGTCAAATTATAAAACCCTGTCAACGAAGGACAGTAAAATAACTAGAGGATCACAGATATATACTGAGTCAAAAAAGAAACTTCACAAAATGTAATTTGAAAAATAATGAATAATTTTTCTCTGATGATACATCTATGTATCCGAAATGGGATCCCTATCTTTCGACTCTAGAAAAACGTTAGCAAAACCCACTCAAACCCATCCATTCCTCGTGCAAATGACGTTAGTGCCAAATCAGGTTTTGCACGTGCAGTCGATCACGTGATCTTTGCATCGAAGTTTTCTTCATATGCACGTGTTTGCATTGGCCTCAAGAATTGGAAAAAACACTTTCAAACCACAGTTCTAACGGTACTTGAAATGCCACGATTGTCAAATGTGCAACGTGAACGTGCCGTTGGCATGTTGCAAGCGGGAAGATCAGTTATTGACGTCGCAAGAGCAATGGAATGCAGCCGTCGTACTGTGTATGACTTGCGAGGTCGTCTACAACAAACTGGCACCACTTCTGATCGCCCAAGGTCGGGTCGTCCACGTGTGACGTCACGAGCAGAAGACCGTCAAAATCGTCCTACGTCACCTACGTGACAGATTTCTGCCGGCTACACGAACCAGGGCTGAGATGTTTAGTGGTCGACTGTCCTCACAGACCATTCGAAATCGGTTGCGGGCTGCCAATCTCCATTCTCGACGTCCATATCGTGGGCCAATATTGACGCCGTTTCATCAACGTCAACGTCTGCTGTGGGCCCAACGTCACCTCCGATGGACCCAGAGAGACTGGAATCGAGTCGTCTTTAGTGATGAATCCAGGTTTACCCTCAGATTCTCGGACGGCAGGTATAGAGTCTGGAGACGACGTCGTGAACGGAATGCCCAATGTTGTGTACAGGAAGTCGACAGATTCGGGGGGCGGAAGTTGCATGGTGTGGGGTGCTTTCTGTGGGAACAACCGTTCCCGACTTCTGGTCACTGCTGCTTACCGCGACCAGGTGCTCACCTCTGAACTCGTTCCTTTCATGGCGGCTCATGGCCCAGGTCTACAGTTCCAGCATGATAATGCTCGGCCGCATACCGCGATGTTGACACGAAATTTCCTTCAAAACGCTGGAATCAACGTCATGGGCTGGCCATCGAGGTCCCCTGACCTTAATCCAATAGAGCACGTTTGGGATGCACTTGGGAGAAGGCTTCGTGGTCTTAGGAACCAGCCTCAGAATTTGCAGGAACTTGGCGCTGCCTTGCAAGAGCAATGGCGCAGAATCCCCAACCACGTGTTCACAAGCATCAGGCAGTCGATGAGGAGACGGTGTTTGGCAGTGGTGAATGCCGGGGCGGCCATACACGATATTGAACTGAGAAATTTCGCATTTTTATTCTTGTGACTTGACATTCTGTATACCCATGTTTTGGAACGGCGGTGTAGCCTAATGGAACTGATTATGGCATGTGTATCGAGTACATCACACAGATCTCAGCAATGAAATAATAACAATTTAACCATCTTACCATCTCTTGTTCTTTAATAGTGCCCTGAACAAAGAATGTGAAGTTTCTTTTTTGACTCAGTATAGATATAAAACTAGTATGAAAAACTATAAACATTCAACTATAGAAGACAATACAATATAAAAACAGGCTATGTATTGCCAACAACTGAAGGTAGATCACTTGGGACCATGGGGACTTACAGTACATTTGCTTCCTGCATGGACCCTAGCTGGATTTACACCATCCCTTCAGCCGTTAGCAATTCAGTCAAATCTAGCAATCTAGCATAAATTAAAAATGACACATATTCTACGACTAAAAAGGTGGTAAGAATAAATTTATCTTGAATGTTTGGGGACTTACGTACCCTCTCTCAAGAGGACAAAACTTTTACAGTACTTTAACCCCTTTTGAGGATACAGCCACTAAGAATCTCAGTTGCTAAGTTAAGCTATACAAGTTATAAAATACATCTATCTACAAAACATGTCAATCAAAATGAATCAATTAAATCAATTTCTTTTAAAAACCAATAATTAAATGAAAATTAATATTTGTAAAAAGAACCTTAACAGTTTTTACATTGAAATAGTTATCCCTTATGATGGAAAGTTCAACACAGTCAAGCAGGACATGCTTGACCGTGTTTCTCTCATCACAAGGGATGCAAAACGGAGGATCCTCACCTTTCCATAGGTATTCATGAGTATATCTTTGTGTGGCCAATACGACATCGTCGCATGATGACCTCGTCAAATCTGGACTGACAACCCAAGTAGTTGCAACCTGATGGATAAGGCATCTGGGCAAGAAGTATGCAACACCATGGTCCTCAGGTTTGGTAGGCATCATGATTTAAGTGTGGTATGCGATTCCCAATTTCTGCCTGAATGGAAGTGTCAAGACAAGGCAATTTAATTTCATCTATCGATGATCTAGTATCTTCCAATAACCATCAAATAGCAAAATCTCTTCCACTGGTTTACCCACCTGATACTAAGGGGGGACAAGTGAGACCGTATCAACTGTTTCAATATGCATAAAGATTCGGAGTGACAAGAATCTCTTCAGAAAGCTCTTTGACAAAAGTGATTATTTCAACTTTCCAATAGTCAACTTTCCTTATATGTTGAGTAATTCTCCAACCACTCCAACTCCAGCTCTGTTCTTCATAAGCATTTCTTAATTGACGGATTCCTTTTGAGATTTCCTGTGAGTATGTACATTGGTATCTTAACGCAAATAACATGTCTTCACGAAACCTTAATCCTCGATGATTAATTAAACATAATTTTGCTAGCCAATTATAATTTTGGGAATGGCGATAACATATTTACGTTGTTTGAAAGCACACACTAAAAAACCTTCAGTCAATAAGGAACCATTAGAATCCAAGAGTTAGACCAGTAGGACCTTATCTAAACTGAATAGGGAACATATAGTGTAAGTTTGTGATAATGGCAGCACGATTTAACGGTAGCATACTCTTGATACGGTCGGAATTGAACAATTCTTTAGAAAATGAAACGGGTTTTGTCGCTTTTAATATTACGAATGGATTATTGTTTGTCCATGTGTCTCGGTATGCATTTACTTTCATACTGCTTGTATATATTTTTGGATATTAAAAGCAAGGACGTTGCCGTGTGTAGGGTCGTTATTTTGTAGGGTCGTTATGGAGTGTGATACATTATTTTGTAGGGTCGTTAAAGACTTTGATAGCTTTCTCTTTTCAGGTCTACAGATAAATTATCTAATAATGTGTTTATGATGTCGGTCTAGGGATTTCCTAAGTTAATGATTCTTCTCTTGATGGAGTATTAGGCTTTTTTGTTTGATGACTTTTTGGTACAGTATGGTTGATCTAACTCAAACGAAGAATGAGGACTGTATGTGTCTATTATGAATAGACAATGCATGTCTAATACACCCGATTCCAGGTTTTAACCCAACCATTATCAACCTAACTTTTCATGTCTCAGTGGAGAGTTTTAGTGCTAACAAGTGCGTTGGAATTGTCTTTTTTTCTTTTTAGCGAGAACCGTTAATGGCATGTACTGAATTATGGAGCAAGTGGAACCAATTATAGTCCTTACTACGTCAGGCAGGTATAGATGAGTATGAGATTACTCTGCCGAAATCAATATGACACAATAATGAAGGCATTTATGATTGCATAACAAACACAAACGTTTCAATTACTTAAAAATGTTAATGTGACGAATGAAGGGAATGAAAACATATTTCGATTGAAGCAGAATGTATTTCCTGTACGTAAACCTTCTTCACCACACGTTTCGGAAGTGCTCTTCGTCACTTCGTAAGTAAGATTTTTGAGATACAAGTTAATGAACTTACACTTAACTAAGTATATATTTATAAAACGTATGCGTAATTATATAGCGTTAGATACTGCTATTAAACAGAGGGATGTTATCGGACTTCTGCTGTATCAGCCATACCCACTTTGTTAGAAATTTTAAAGTTGATAACTTTTAAGTACAGGAAAGTATCTGTTCAAAGATTTGCTCGATGTCTTCACGAAACATTGTCTCTAATTCATTAAAATAAATGATCAAATTGCTTAAAAGCATGTGCAGATATCGTGCATGTGAACAACTGCGTTCTGGTGTAAAGTTTTGTTAAGAATTCGCCAATTTTCATTGATTTGTTATCATTTATTGATTTTATTCACGAATTTGTTTAACAATACATCAGTTTATGTGGAAACAGTACCTTTAAACGGTATGGAATATTTGGCAAAAGTTAGTTTAGAATAGTTGCCTGAAGTAAGTGCCTATATTTGCATTAGTCTAAACTTATGAAAGGAAATCTGGATTAATTTAACAGGTAATCAGCTTTTAACAAAGCCCATTCTTTCTGAAAGTTTGAGAAACTTATTAACACGATCACCAATTTAACAGCTAGCATATTACATCTCAAGCAAATACTGTAAACTATGTTTATTATGAACATGGTTACGACGAAATGACTGATATAAAGAACTGTTATAAAATGCTGGCAACTTGCTTCACATTTTACATATAATGCTTATCAAGAACTACGAGTAACAAATATAATTGAGTGGTTCATTTAAGTACGTCATAACCTCAATTCACTGTAAAACATCACTATTCTCCAAATAGTCAAAGACTGGACCATGGCGCTCCTACGACTCCAGCTGCATCTGTCTCTGGTGCACTTCCTCCCCTCGGACATAGCTCCACCAACAAATGTGGACAACGTGTTAGACTGCTTCAGCTCTTGCTTGAGATACCAGCAGTGTGTCTCCCTGATTTACGACAGGAACAACAAACAGTGCTACACCTATCCAGGCAGGCTTGAAGTTCCCTTCTGGGGAGCTGACATCAATACTGACTTGGACATTTACAACACCAACAGAGGTAAGGGAGATTGTCTTGCAATCTGGTCAAACAGATTCGTGATACATAACACCATGAATGTTAAAATGCACATGTCGTTCACACGGAGACATTTTGCGTGAACACACAGTGGTGAATGAGTGGGTATGCATTTAAGCAATTTTCCAGCAATATCACGGCAGGGGCACACCGCACATGGGCTTCGCACATTGTAGCCATGTGGGGAATCGAACCCGTGTCTACAATGTGTCGAACAATCGCCATTTCCAAACCGCCTCTCTGAATATAACTGTCTGCAACTCAAGCTTATGTGATGCTTCTTGGCTAAATTCCCTTTTTTGAAATTCCCAAGCCTCGAAGTTGTATTAACGTGTATTCAAAATGAAGCAGCAGTGCATACGGAAGAAAAGGACACGACTGGCGCCCCTGGTTGTGCCTACTCCTTGGTTTGAATATCGTACACCCAAACACAGAAGGTTTTACTCCGAAAACAAATCAATGTTTGTTTCCATCAGTAGAGCCCCATTTCCGATGTCCCGGTCGTGATTTTGCTTCCATAAAATGACAAATGACACTTCGGACCCTTTCAGTCCAGTCATTGAGCCCAATACTTCATTCACTCTGTGTTACATCTGTATTTTACTAAACGTTGTTGTACTTTTTATGTTTCCTTGTCGAAAAGAGATGAGAGTACGACTGAAACACCATGTGGTATCACATTGTTTGATTAAATGGCAAAATTTCCATTTGGACGTACCTTTTTTTAGTTGCCGTGGTTGTAATAGAGAATGTTTATTTCAGATGGATATGGTTGTCCAAGTCATCTTGGATATGATTTTAATTCCACGGTGAATGCGTGTTTCAAAATACATGATGACGTTCAAACGACGCACTTTAATGCTGCTAGCATCTGCGTCGCCGACGGTGGTCATCTCATCAGAATCAATTCAAGTGCCAAGGATGAATTCTTGTCTGTCGTTTGGCCAACTGGATCTGGTAAGCAATCGCATGAAAAATTGAAAACTGTCCTAACAATGATGTTATAGAAGAAGAAATCTCTATTTTCTATTGTTTCAGTATTTGCATATTTCACTTTTTAGCAGCCACTGCACTTATGAGTAAATCTCATAATACACCCACGATTGAATATTTTACTGTCTCATGTCCATCTACTTCTGCAACTATTGCTTGATATCATACCAATGAAAACCCACAAAATATTGTCCATAGTCACAAAGAACCTCCACTGTAAAATGACCAGGGTGCCGTTCCACTAACCGATCTTAGCCCTACGCCAATCGTAAACCCCTAAAATCCCAATCTTAGCGTGACGTTACGATCGGCATACCGTTCCACTAACCAATCTTACCTAAGTCAATCGTAAAGTTAAGATCCAAATTCTAAGTTGCTCATGACCAACTTAGGATCGCTCAAATCAATCGTAGAGAAACCAAAATGGTGGCTTTCCTATTCTATGTGAAAAATAAGAGCGAGCATTTCACCGTGAGCGTCCCCTAAAATCCCCCATTAAATGAATTTGTATATTTCTGTGATGTAAACAAACACTGCACTGAAGCCTTACAAATGTCAGGCCAGTCTGACCACTGTCGTCATGGGAACACAACCGAGCGAGTCGGTGTAACACATTTGTACAACAATATTGCAACGTCATAGTTAAGAATAGGGACAGCCGTGAAGTGAACACTGTTCTGAAACAAAAAGATACAAATTTGTTTGATTTCACGTGCGCTTATTTGGTGGGGGATTCTAAAGGCAGGCCGCGTGTTATTCAAGACCACTGACAGATTCTAGATACGTTATAGAGGATGCCTCGTCACGCCTTGTTTATTCTGATTGACAAGGTTCAGGCACATAATAAAAGCTCTGACACAATTGACATTTTTTAAGTCCAGACTTAAAACCTGTTCTCAGTATATTACTTATAATCTCGGCTGTAAATACTCTCGTGTAAATTATCTGTACATAGCGCCTTGAGCATGCCCCAGGATGTGGAATAGGCGCACTATAAATATGCATATATTATTATTATATTATGCCTGATACCCAGCGTTCACACACACTTGCACCTGAAACCAAGGTGCTCAGTACCCCAATTTTTGGCTCTAGGTTTTTTCTCCACGTTTACACTTGGTTAGAAGAATACCCATGAAGGCCCGGATTAGAATATTGAACTTCAATAACCCATGCTTGTCGTAAGAGGCCACTAACGGGATTGGGTGGCCAGGCTCGCTGACTTGGTTGACACATGTCATCGGTTCCCAACTGCGCAGATCGATCCTCATGCTGTTGATCACTGGATTGTCTGGTCCAGACTCGATTATTTATAGCTAAGATACATAGCGTTCACTAACATGAACGCTCATGTTAGTGAACGCTATACATCTTAATTAGCTAAATTATTTACAGACCGCCGCGATATAGCTTGACTATTGCTGAGTGCGGCGTAAATCTAAACTCATTCACTCACTCAGTTGGTTCGTAAACTACTTCCATCATTTGCTAGACTATGAAAAGGGAAATAACTCGTGCCTCGCATTCCTCTATCTCTCTAACGAAAGAGTCTCCATCTAAGCTTGGATCGGATCGTAAGATCGGGACCGGCTACGATCGGCCTAAGATCGGTTAGTGGAACTGGTGTAACTCTTAGCTAAGACGATTGTAAAATTGGCGTAACTTGCTAAGATTGATCTTAGTTAAGATCGGTTAGTGGAACGGCACCAAGGTGTAGAAAGGGACCCCAAGTTTAGCCCGAGTAGAACAAAAACTACTACCGACATAAGAATTGTCCACTTCGATATCCATATATTAAAACGCGAGTTTCGGGGAATCAGCTCGCTTGGCAAGAGGTCTGCCCATACCAACCCACACACAACACAACACCTGAGTAAATAAACAAGGAGTTTATTACACAGCAGTCACTGAACGATCTAACATAATCAGTCAATAATAGCATAGTTTACAATTAATTATTAGAACATGATCAGAATGCAATCAGATATCAAAGTACATAAACATCACATGTAGATTCGTTATACACGACACATACTACATTAATCGCAATACATATTCCAATGTACACAACACTAGTTCAGAACTCTACACATGACCCCAGTGGGGGTTCATACAATCTACAATCACGGTCCCAAACAGCATATAGTATTCATGCACAACGTAATACAATAGTTAAAATATCCGACACACTCTATACATTCTATAATAGTCACAAAACAGTGTAGTGTCAATCAGTATGAAATACACAATCCTAAACTTCAATACAGAAGATATGAGACACATACTAAGAGATTGTTTGTTCCACATAAACCTGAAGGTACTGCGAGGGTTGTAACTTATAGTTAAGGTATTTACAATAGATTAAAGTTAACCTAGAATAACAATGGTATATATGTCAAAGTAGAAGAAAGTAAAGTTTCTTACCTGAGTAAATAAACAAGGAGCTTATTACACAGCAGTCACTGAACGATTTGTGACTGTGTGTTGTCCCTGTTTTATACCTATTCCATTTATCATAGATAATCCCATTTACTGATACACTGACGATAAAGTTGTTGTTGTGAACTTCAGTTGCTATATCTAAATCCTATTGCCTAACTCGACTGACGATACGGTGCCAACCACGCACTTAAGCTACTCTATCTTGACCGGATTATATGATAATTTTCTTAAACGTATTGAAGACATCGGTGTTGATAGGTGAAGTTCACAGTGAATTTGATTAGTTTATTGCTATCTGCAGACCCGGACCAGATACTGGTTTCGGATGTTCATTATCAATGTGACCCTTGGCAGTTTGAAGATTGTGAAACGTGGTCAGTTAATCTGTACATGACCAGTTTTCAATAATATATACTGTCATAAATATTGGTAAAACTTTGTCCAGTTTTACCGTGTTAATACATACATGTTGTCACGGACTGACCAGGATACTACTTTGATGAGTCTAAGTTGACGGTAGCTGATTTCTTACTCATCGCAAATAGGTACAAGGCTCTTTCCAAATTGTATCTGAGAGGTTAATCGGGCATTAGGTACGAGGCTCTTTCCAAATTGTATCTGAGAGGTTAATCGGGCATTAGGTACGCGAGAAAATGAGCTTACAAGAGTAAGGAACATTAAAATCTAACCAAACACAAAAGTTTATGTTTGACGTCAATGAGCCATATCGTGATTTTAACAAATTAAAAATTCATAATAAAATGCCATTAAATTATAAAACCCCTACTGTAAAATAACTAGATTATCACAGATAGAGAATTAAAACTAGCATGTAACTGTAAAACAATACAGTATATAAAAACGGGTTAGAGATCACCAGCAGCTGAAGATAGGTCGCCATACTAGAGACCATGGGAACTTACAGTACCTTTGCTACCTGCATGGACCCTAGTTGGATTTACACCATCCCTTCATCCGCCGGCGATTGCGGGGAAATTTAGCCATGATTTAAAATAACACAAATACAAATACTATGTTAAAAAGTCTGGTTAGTATAAATTTACCTTGAATATTTTGGGACTTACGTATCCCCACAGAAGGACAATACTTATACAAGACTACAACCCCCTATGAGGATACAGCCACAAACAATTTAATCTAAATTAAAATTTATAAATAATTTTCTAACAGATGACAATACATTTCTTTCTTATAAAGAATTCGTAGAAGTGTATGGGGTTGAAACAAATTTCCTTGAATATACAGGATTATTATCTTCATTGAAAACATACTCAAAAACAGAGTTCGTTCAAAATTAATATTCAGAAAGATTTACCTTTACCTCTCCAAATTTGGAAATACTACTCAAAGCTAAGAAAGGATGTGGCATATTTTACAACAGGCTTCTTCACAAGGAAGCTATACACCAAAAACTGCTTTATGAAAGTAAATTGGAAAAATAATTGAACATAGATATTAGACTTAATCTATGGAAAACACATAATTTTATACCATTTCGAGCATCTTATAGTGCTATGCACAGATGGCTTCAATATCGTATTATCATAGGATCCTAACAATAAAGATGTTTATAAATACAAACTAATAGAATCACCACTTTGTACATTTTGTGATGTTGAAATAGAATCGATCATTCATTTATTATATGAATGCAAACTTGTCAAAAAGCTGTGGCAAGATCTACTAGAATGGATTGAAAATGAAACAGACACCCATTTGAAATTAAACGCAGAAACCATTATTCTCGGATTCAAAGAGAGAAGAAATGATGTACTGAATGCCATGTTCATATTAACTAAAGAATACATATATTCTAGAAAGGTAGCAAACATTGTACCTTCTCTCGCTGGTCTGAAACCAAAACTGAATTACAATTACCAATTACACAAATTTAAAGCGTACTCTCACTGCAAATACGACACTTTTGTTACATTTTGGTCGTCTTGCCACAATCTATTTACATAGATAATGACTTTGTAATTTGACTCCTGTATAAAACAACAAATATGCTGACTTGTTAAATGTGCATGATATGCTGTACCCAGATCAAAAAGAAATAAAGTGACAACCCCCCAAAACAACAACAAAAAACAAACCAATCTAAGCTGCTAATTTAAACTACCTCTAATATATATATATAAATCAAAATCTATCAAGTAATTCTATTTATTTTAGAAAATCAATAATTATATGACATTAACATTAAAAATACCCTTCATTGTTTTGTCATTGGAAGCAATACCGTGTCTCTAATGAGACTAAGAACTAAGTACTACGTAACAGGCCCCAGAAATATTGTTAGTGAATGCATGAATGTTAAGAACACTTTTGAATCTTTTGAACAAGGCCGTTTTTGGAGCCAGAATAGCGAGAATTGGGATAATTTATACGTTTCCATGTAAGCATTTTATCCGCACTTGGCAATTAGACTGGGAACAAAGCAGTTCGAAAACAGTCCCAGTGTGGTGGACTTTGGAAATGTCCACCACACGTCGACCCGTGAAGATCCGGGTTTGAATTGTTCACAGTAACCCATGCTTATTGTAAGAGTGAGTGAGTTTGGTTTTACGCCGCTTTTAGCAATATTCCAGCAATATCATGGCGGGGGACACCAGAAATGAGCTTCACACATTGTACCCATGTGGGGAATCGAAGCTTATCGTAAGAGGCGTCTAATCGGTGGTTAGGCTCGCCAGCTTGGTTGACACGACGTCGTGTCATCGTATCCCATTTGAGTAGATCGATGCCAATACTATTGATCACTGGATTGTCTGGTCTAGACTAGACTATTTACAGATCGCCCCATATAGCTGTAATATTGTTGAGTGCGGCGTTAAACAACAACCAACCAGCCTCCACACGTAAAAAAATAAACAACAACAATAAAACAGTTTGGATTGTTCTTTTGGTCTTGAACATTTGCACCTACTTTAAGAGTCGTACAACGCTTTTACAAATCTTTGTGATACACGTTTATAACTAAATGCACAGATGTGGCATATCTGCTATAATTGCCTCAGATGTAGTTCGTTCGAAGTTAACATGTTAAAATGTCAGTAAGTAAAATTCGATTTGATCAAAACACCTGCAGTTCTAACTTTTACACGAGTCCGACAAATAAGACGCCCAGTTGAAATGAATGTGGCGTAACCATTGACCCGGAACAGTGAAAGCAATAACGACTCAATCGTTAATTTTCGTCAATTATCAAGTCAGTTATGTTTATATCTAGACGTCTATTATCTCTACAATTTGCTGTATGACCTCTCCAGGAGTGATTGTCCGGATAGATGATGAATAATTTGCACATATACAAATGGAAATACTTTTAGAGAAAAAGTAGGCACATATTGTGGGTTTTGTGCACAGCCAGAATTCTGATAAAACGTTGATGTGAAACTGATTGTTGAAATGTTTAACAGTTTTATGAAGCTAAACTAAATGATATCATTTACACATAATTTCAGTTCATGTCGATGGCGCGTGTAGAGGGGACGAAGGCTGGATTTACTCGAATGGTGACAACATAACCTACTTCAGGTGGAGGCCAGGTCAACCAAGTGACACCTGCGGCGTTGGATGGTGGAGGTGTCTGGAAGCAAACTCGTCTGGTTGTAACGACGTCTCATGTTACCTTCTTATGCCATTTATATGTGAAATCGACATATAAAGCAGTGTATGGTACACGATTTGTAATTTTACAAATGATTAATCATTTGGATCAAAGTGAACCGTATACAACAATAGCTTGTCATCGGTACGTTTTCTCCTCCTTCATTACTGTTCATTTTGGCGGTTAACCACTTCGATAACGATCGTTACAAACAACACGCAGGTATCCTCATGCTTTATTGCCCTTTATCATTCAAACATTAGAGCTTACTTTAAGCATGGCCTTTATCATGATTTGAATGTTGTTTTCACAACTTAAAGACTGACGCATGTACGTGCCTACATCACACGGCTTAGGCAAGCCGACTAAATGACTAAATTGTATGTTAGGTATTGTTGGTGAACTAAGCTTTTTGCTTTGTTGTAGGGGTTTTAGTGGGAAGAAGAGTATATGGAGAAGCTCACTGATCCACTGTCTGCTAATATCAATTATATCAACACGAGTTGATAAAGTTACAAATATCTGCGGAGGATATTTTTACTTTTATCAACGAGTGTTGATATATTCAATATCAGAAGACACGAGGGTGAAGTTCTATTTTTTTATTAAAAAATCTCTTTTCATTAGGTTTCAATGAAAAATGAACATCCCTGAACACGGTACTGCCATTAGACTTGTAGTGCAGCGATGTCATAGCATTGTGAGTCTTGTAATTGTTGACGTCAGGGTATCGTACAAAATCTACTGACAAAGCGATATCTCCAGTGGAACACAGTTTTTGATGATAAATTAGAATACTGGAAATAGTATTCTACGCAAAAATTGGTATTATTTCATGTGTTTTACTTCTTTGAACTGCAGTCCGTAAATCCATTGCACAGTATTTACAGGGGTTACAATGGGTGAGCTTAACATGGCATGTTGAGCAAACAACGCAGTTTTACACGATGGGTTCCTGTTTGGCGTTGACATAAGAATACAAAAAGTTTGCTCAGATGAACAATTAGTCAATTTAGGTGATATGAAGTAAAAAGCACATACCAAACGAACATGAAAATATTCTTCAGTAGCATTACCACTGTGCTTTTTACATATATTTACAACTGCATGAAATTTTCCTTTGCAAAACATCATAATAGCAACACTGGGACTGGGCCAATGATGGTCTCATTGACACAATGTATATACAATAGATGAACTTTTCACTAATAAATTGTTCTTTTAAAAAGGAATATGTCTATGAACATGTATTTTAATTTAAGTTGGTGCTCAATTTCTGTTGGAAACTGTCGTTACATCTCTGGAGTACAAGTGACAGGAATCCGGCTTTGTTTCCTACCCCAGACAATCCAGTGATTATTACCATGTCACGATGACAGAGCATGTGTTTATGAATCACTGATTAGTGATGATACCAGGTGTTCGCGACAAGGTGAGCGTATCCTGCACCACCGGAGGCACCCGTCATAAACATATGCTAATCATTTGTTCACCGATAATAATTTGGGAACGTACAAGTCAAAATATATCTTTATGCTTCGATCTAAATATGAGGCGGTCTCACTTGTCTCCTTAATTTCAAGTACTGACATGCACAACTTACAAACAAAACCTCGTTACAGTTTTATTCTATTATTAAGTCATCACTTACCACAGATTTGTACATCTTTGATCTTAATAATATTAAATATCGTAAATCACTGCTTATCTTCAGAAGCTGTTACAACAGGCTAGGAATACAATGTATTAGAAAAGGATTTTGTGATTATGAAAGCTCTGATTCTAAATGTGCTTTATATAATGTAACGGAAGATGAAATACAAATTTTATATTAATGTCCAATGTATCAAACTCTTCGTTGTGATGTACCTCTTATTTTCCAGCATGGTGGAAATATCAATGGTTTAATATCTTTAATGAATTCCAATGATCATAAATTCATGTTAGCAAAATATCTTTAGAATGTGTTTCGTATTCGAGGAGAAGTCCTTTGATACGCATGTGTATATTTTCATGTATATTTAATGAACTGTATAACAATAAACAAATTGATTGATTAATTCAAGTACAGGTGGGTAAATCAGTGGAAGGGTATTGGCTATTTGATGGTTTTTGAACGATCAAATTATCGAAGTTAATTCTTGGCCATATTACCTTGCAGAATACATATTGGCTTCATCCCATTCCTCTTCACCCAAAGTTAATGATGGTATGTAGATATTAATAATGCGGTTTCTCAGATCAGAGTATATTTGTTGGCATATGCTTATTAACGCGTCCCTTAACGATGACTAATCTTAACACGTTGTACTTGCAGTAGAAAAGGGTTAATGCAAAAATCTCTCGCGAAGAAAGTTTCCCTGGTGTGGTTGACCATGTGGTTTGGTATTATACGCAGTGTTTCTAGATTTAGAACGAGGTTTATTAGGAGGTTGTACTGTCTGTCAAGTTGTGTTATGTATGTGGTATAAATGAAGGGTATTACATACAGAGTGGCACAATTTACGGAGTGATTGAGTTAAGATTTTAAGTCGCATCGGCAATATTTCAGCCATATCGTGACTAAAACTAGTTCTAAATGCATAATATATACATATAATATATAAAACCCTGTCAACGAAGGACAGTAAAATTACTAGATTATCACAAAATGAGTTAAAACTAGCTAGCATATATCTTTAAAAGTAGAAAACTATTTTTTGACAATACAATGCAAAAATGGGCTATTGATCGCCAACAACTGAAAGCTGATCACCATACTAGGGACCATGGGTACTTACAGTACTTTTGGTACCTTCATAGACCTTAGATGGATTTATATCATCCCTTCAGCCGTTGGCGATTGTAGTCGAAATTGGCTATATATACAGAGTAGTGGTCTACAGGAAATGGTACTGTAGCAGAAGTACAATGCATGAAGCGGCTCTGTAAGGAAGTTACTGTACATTGACTGATATTGTATATGGAATGGTACGATCTATGAAGCAGTCCCATGTATTGAGTGGTTCTACATGTATATATGTTGTTACACTATACACGGAGCAGTTGTTTATGTTCAATGGTCCCATATCTGTTGTAGTGCTATAAAGTCATTGGTACTGCATAGGAACTATTAGAATGTATTCAGTGAGTGATGTATTTATTATTTAGTGAGTGAGTTTAGTTTTACGCCGCACTCAGCAATATCCCAGCTATATAGCGGCGGTCTGTAAATAATCGAGTCTTGAACAGCATGAACATCGATCTGCGCAACTGGGAACCGATGACATGTGTCTACCAAGTCAGCGAGCCTGACCACCCGATCTCGTTAGTCGCCTCTTACGACAAGCATGGGTTACTGAAGATTCATTCTAACCCGGACCTTCACGGGTCTATTATTTAGTACCAACATTAACTTTGGGTGAAGAGGAGTGGTAAAATATATTCAGTGATCCTGTATATGGAGTCATGCGATATATTCTATATACGGTGTAGTGGTATGTATTCAATGGTCATGATGCATCTTGTAGTGGTATATATAGGATGACCCTGTGTATGGTGTAGTGATATTTATTCAGTGGTCCTCTATATGGTTTAGGGGTTTGTATTGAATGGCCTTACACATGTTGTGGTGGTGGGTATATATATGGTGTTGTGTTATGTATTGAATTTCCTTATAATATGGTGTAGTGCTATGTATCCAGTGGTCCTATATATGGTTCTGTGGCATGTATTCAGTAAATCTATAATATGGTGTAGTGCTATGTATCCAGTGGTCCTATATATGGTTCTGTGGCATGTATTCAGTAAATCTATAATATGGTGTAGTGCTATGTATCCAGTGGTCCTATATATGGTTCTGTGGCATGTATTCAGTAAATCTATAATATGGTGTAGTGCTATGTATCCAGTGGTCCTATATATGGTTCTGTGGCATGTATTCAGTAAATCTATAATATGGTGTAGTGCTATGTATCCAGTGGTCCTATATATGGTTCTGTGGCATGTATTCAGTAAATCTATAATATGGTGTAGTGCTATGTATCCAGTGGTCCTATATATGGTTCCTATATATAATATGGTGTAGTGCTATGTATCCAGTGGTTCTGTGGCATGTATTCAGTAAATCTATAATATGGTGTAGTGCTATGTATCCAGTGGTCCTATATATGGTTCTGTAGCATGTATTCAGTAAATCTATAATATGGTGTAGTGCTATGTATCCAGTGGTCCTATATATGGTTCTGTGGCATGTATTCAGTAAATCTATAATATGGTGTAGTGCTATGTATCCAGTGGTCCTATATACATGGATTCAGTAAATCTACATGTATTCAGTAAATCTATAATATGGTGTAGTGCTATGTATCCAGTGGTCCTATATATGGTTCTGTGGCATGTATTCAGTAAATCTATAATATGGTGTAGTGCTATGTATCCAGTGGTCCTATATATGGTTCTGTGGCATGTATTCAGTAAATCTATAATATGGTGTAGTGCTATGTATCCAGTGGTCCTATATATGGTTCTGTGGCATGTATTCAGTAAATCTATAATATGGTGTAGTGCTATGTATCCAGTGGTCCTATATATGGTTCT